GACCCATTCATATCACATCTAGTCGGAGAGTGAATCAGAGATTGTAGGCCAAAACTAAGAAAACAGCGAACATATTTCAAGCAAACTGGAGTGTTTGTATCAAGGATATTTATGTTTACGTCACCGCAAATAATAATGTTTTTGTTTTCCAGGGTTAGAGTAGCAAGAATTCTTTCAAGCTGCACGCAAAACTCGGAATTCGAGGATGAGGGAGAACGGTAGATGAATGCAATGACTGTATGACGATTGTTGAATGGCAGAGCAGAAGATTCTACTTCAAGCCAAACAGACTCACAATTAATGTTGTCAAAAAACAGATCCTGACGGCGTTTGTATGGTATTGATGAAGTTATTAGGACTGCAGATCCGCCACCACGATTTGTGACACGGTGACAATATTCGGATTCATAGCCTGGCAAAGCATACAGATGCCCTTCGTCTGCCGACAGCCACGTTTCTGATAGGGAGATTACGGAAAATGAGTGTTCGACAATGGAAAAGAAGGCTACAAGGTCGTCATAATGCCCTCGAAGGCTACGAGTGTTAAAATGCACGAGCGAGAATGCGGGTGTTTGCTCAAGAAGATGTTTTGCTTCAGCGCAAGAGAGCATATTAGAAGCCATAATGAAACCGAAAGTGTTCCTTAATCAGTCGGCAGGCCTACGATATGATTGTTAGGTCATCCGTGTCAGCGATGCGGTGCACTTTACTGTTGTCGGATCTCCTAGCCTTGATAATACCGTTGTCTGTCCAGAGGTACTTCCTGTTTTTTTCTTTCTTTAGGGTCAGAGCCTGCGCGAACAGTCGTTTTTTTTCTGGAGTGAGGTGGTCGTTGATGAAAATGGGCTCGCCTTTTTGAGATTGAAATCCAATGTTGGAAGTGTTTAAACGTGCCTTCCGTGCTTTTTCACAGAATTCGGCCCTCTTGGCTCTCGTACAGAATTGAGCAATTATGTGTGGTATTCCTTTCTTGACAGGGACACGATGAACGATGTCAATGTCCGCTGCCGCGACAGGGCATTTTGCTTTGTTCCCGATTTCGTGCACGATCTGAAGGCAGTTCTCATCCTTTCGGACAGGCACACCTCTTATTTCTACGTTGTTAGAGCGTGAATACTGTTCAAGTTCGCTGAGGCATTTAGCCAACTCCTTGTTTTTAACCTTCAGGGACTTGTTTTCTTTGATCAAATGTTCATTTTCCTTCTTCGCGCCTTCACAGATCTCATTCAGTAACTTCATACTTTCGCGCATCTCGATCATTTCAACTCGAAACACTTCGATTTCTTGCGCCAGCTCAGCGTTCGTCGGCATGTCTAAGGACTATCACAAACAACCCGAGGGCAGCAGTATTTACGGCAAAAGAAGCTAGTTCAACAGAACGCTAGTTCAATTCACTAACCTGGGTAGGAAGAACGGGGTGAGTGGAGCGCACACAAGCCGCAAACACTGCTGCCACACTGAGGGACGATGCGCCGCAGTCTTCTATTATGTAGGCTTCTTTCCAGGAAAGGGCAGGGCAGCCGGCGATGATATGATTCGACGGTGATGCAGTGGACCGGTCATGCGCCGTAGGCTTGCGTTCACTGGAAGCTGGTCGCACGTGCCTTGCCGATCTCAGTGACCTGGGATACAGAGCGGTTCCCCCGTCGACGAGCTCTGCCGGTGTAGCCTGAACGTCCGGCTTGAAGAAGGCGCGAACATCCAAATCCAAATCCACATTCAAATCAATAAGTAGCGCACTTTCAAATGCACTGGCAGATTTTAAAGAAACAATATTTTCGGGCAGCGAATTGCAATCAGCAATGGTTCGCGGAAAAAAGAGTACTTAAAAAGATTAGTGCGCGTTTGATAAGGAAGTAGATTATGTGCATGTCAATTTCTCGATGTACGTGACATGCACGCGCATTCACATTAAGCCTGTTGTGATAAAGCATAAATAAAAAATTTAAGTCTTGATATTTTCCTGCGCTGCTCTAAGGTTGGAATCTTATTTGCCAGCACTAAAGTTGAGGGTAAATCTGTTCTCTAATATTTGTTGAATATAAAGCGTACTGCCCGCCTCTGTACCATCTCGAGCCTATGCTTATCTTTTTTGTAGTGGGGATCCCAGATTACGCTAGCGTAATCAACTTTAGGCAAAACATAAGTGTTGTATGTGACAAGCTTAGCATCGGGGGGCGCGTTTTGCAGTCTGTGCCTAAGTAATTGATTGATATGTGGGGTTTAACGTCCCAAAACCACTGATGATTATGAGAGACGCCGTAGTGGAGGGCTTCGGAAATTTCGACCACCTGGGGTTCTTTAACATGCACCCAAATCTGAGTACACGGGCCTACAACATTTCCGCCTCCATCGGAAAAGCAGCCGCCGCAGCCGGGATTTGAACCCGCGACCTGCGGGTCAGCAGCCGAGTACCTTAGCCACTAGACCACCGCGGCGGGGCGTCTGTGCCTAAGTAGGCCAAGTTTGCGAGTAGCTGATGTACAGATTTTTTCGATGTGGGAGGACCATGTGAGTTTGGTGGAGAGCGTCAATCCCAAATATTTGTACTCAGTGGCTTCTGCGACGGTGTCATCATTAATTTTATACGTGTATAACAAAGGTTGTCTTTTATTGCTTACGCGTAGCAGTACAGTTTTCTCGGAATTCAGGGACATTGTCCACATTGTGCACAATTCGTGGATTTTCGCTAAACTAGAGTTTAAAGAAATTTGATCATTCTTGCATGTTACCTTTTTAAAAATCAAACAATCATCGGCAAACAGCCTAATCTGCACATCAGGACACACAGCCGCGGTTATATCGTTCACATACATGAGAAAAAGAATTGGTCCAAGAGGCTTCCCTGAGGCACACCAGACGTAACTGGCAAGCGCGCGGATGAAAATTCATCAACATCAACAAACTGAGTTCGGTTGGATAAGTACTGTTTTATCCGATTTATAATAAAAGATGGTAGGCCAAATCTTTGAAGTTTGTTTCGAAGTTTACTCTGGATACACGGTCAAAGGCCTTGCTAAAATCCAAAAAGATTAAATCAATCTGACCGGCCAAATCGAGGGTTAAAGCAACCTCGTTAATCGTGGTAGTAAGCTGTGGGATTGTTGGTAGGTTTTTACGAAATTCATGTTGGTGATCAGATATCAACTTATTGTGTTCACGAAAATCGGTTATGAAATGTACGAGTATGTGTTTCAGTATTTTGCAGCAGGAAGTCGTCAGGAATATCGGGCGATAGTTTACTTTTTTTTAAGCGGTCTTCTTTTTTGTGAACTGCCACTACCCGGGCGACCCGCCAATCATTTGGAATAATGGCTAGCTTCAAACAGGAACGAAAAATCGCAGTGAGAATGTATAACACAGGCTCGGCATACCGGTACAAAAACGCATTGGGAATGTTGTCTGGGCCACCTGAAGATCTTTCTTTAAGGTTCGGTAAGAGAGAAAACACACCATCTACAGCTATAAAGCTATCGTCAAAATCTGATGGCCTGAATGACTGGACGCTGCTTTCGGCTGGAGAGAATACAGAATGGAAGTATTCATTCAACACGTCAGCTATGCCACTAGGTTCTGTTATAAGCACATCCGCTTGTTTTATTTTGTCTATTTGTTTAGATTTTGAGCCGAGTAAAAGTCAGAACTTTTGAGGATTTGTTTTAATAAAAGTAGGCAAAGTAACCTCAAAATATTTGTTTTTGCGCAAGACAGCACATGGTGTAATTGTTCTCAAAGTTTACGCAGCGATTAATTATTGGTGACCTTTTTTTCCTTTGCTCGTTTAAGCTTGCGCTTTAAATGAATAATGTTTCTATCAACCCTGGGGTTGTGTCGATCTCACTTAATACGCCTCGTAGGAACAAACTTTTCAATGCACTTTTGAACAGTTGCTTTAAACTTATTCCACAATGTAATACCATCATGGTCGCGCAAATTATCTGCTAGTTCACACTGCTCGTCAGGAGTAGGGACATTCTTCGCCTGATGGAAGTTTTTGACAGTTTTGCTCTTTGGCCGAGTTTTCACGCAGGTATTTAGGGTGCAAGAAAAAAGAACTAACTTATGGTCCGATATACCATTCTCTACACGAACAGCATATTCAGAAATGCTTCTGCTGACAAATATAAGATCTAGAATTGCGCCATTCGTGCATGCTAATTACCACTGACGCTCTTCTTTGAAGCACCAAAAGTATCTGCAAGACTATGGTGAAAAAATTCATTTGACATATGCCAGCGTTACTTTAAAATGACATTACCTACTACAACCAGCAGCGTCTTCGCTGAATCAAGGAGTCAGTAACACGATAGACTAATTTGCTATGAACTACGATTTTGTAAGAGGAAAATTGTTGTACTGGAATGAAATGTGCATATTATAATGACCTTCACATTTTCTAGCTTTTTAGTGCGCATCCTTGTTCGGGCTGCTGGCTTCCTAAAAATTTGGTTTCCGAACTGCCGTAAGAAGTCGACGGCTTTTCAATATGCGTATGTTGCTTCTAACAGCTCTCGCTTCTTTTTTCCCTTTTTTCTTGGTGATTGCACGTTGATGTCGTTATCGCAAAATGGAATTCAAGAAATTCATGGCGGTTGTCTGCGTTGCGTAGCCATTGGGCCGTCTAATCACTCCAGCTCCGGAGCGTGGTGTGTCGATTCGCAGAAGAGTCTTAGTTAGTTTTTGTCTGACAATTGGTGCTACGTATGATTATTTCGCGTAAGACACAAATCGCTGTCAAATCCCATGGCTACATCAGTTCAGTCGCAAAAAATTAGTGACGCTCGCGAATGCACTCTTCAAGGCGTGGCTACCCCATGGCAACAGCATTAGTGCTCGCGCATAACCAGATTGCTCTTGGCGCACGCGCATTGTGGTTAAACAACGTTGCACTTGTGACACAGCGCGAATGCGGGACGCTTTGTTGTTGGGTGCCCACAGGCATGGCATGCACATCAATGGGATAGGCAGCATGCACATAATTGTGGGTGGCATGCACTCCGCCGACTGCAGCAGTCAGTACATCTGGGGAGTTCTTTGAGAAGAACAGTTTGCTGCACGGTTACCCCCTTGAAGCGGTGAGTAGGCATAGAATGTCCAGTGCGCATTGGTAGCTGTTATTATATAACCCTAGTCACTGTCGTGCTGCTCAGGTCGATGATGCGGGTAGAAATCCCGGCAAAGGCGGGCACATCTCGATGAATACAAACGCAGCAACTTTTTTGTGCTTGGCATTGGGTGCACATTAGGTGCCCTTTACTGCAGCGTGCCTAATGACCATATAGTAGTTCGGCACCCTTGCAAATATTAGTTGGTGGATAAGCCTTCAATAAGCGTTACTGGGAAACGTGCCATGGCGCACAGATAACTTAGGTGCTGTAGCGTGGATGTTGGGTATCTCTTCTTTGATTTCATATCATCCCAAACAGCGCATGCATCACTGTGTTCAGGTCTAATTTAAAGATTTTTGCACATTCGCTGGTTGTTAAATATGTAGAGATAATCTTTCTTTTGTAGTAATAACTGAGCGTTACAGTAAGATATTCAGGGCCCTTTTTAAAAGACGGAGCTTTCTAAACAGTAAATTTTAGCACCTTGAATCTTCAAATGACATCTTCGTTAGGGCTGAAAAGTCGCATTTTCAATATCTTTATTGGTAAACGCCGCTCAGCAGAGTAACAGTTGTACACGCTTGTCATGTTCTTTAGTTATCGCGCGACTGCTAGTTATGGTAGCGTCAAATATTCTCAAATCCTAACGATAGTTACGAACGATGCTCAATCGCACAGAGCTCACTGAACTGCGAGCACCATGTCCCACGCTGTTCCTTCTGCTACTCTGCCATCTGCTGCCCCGCCGCGGTGGTCTAGTGGCTAAGGTACTGGGCTGCTGACCCGCCGGTCGTGGGTTCAAATCCTGGTTGCGGCGGCTGCATTTCCGCTGTAGGTGGAAATGTTGTATGCCCGTGTGCTCATACGTGCGTGCACGTTAAAGAACCCAAGGTGGTAAAAATTTTCGGAGCCCTCCACTACAGTGTCTCTCACAACTATATCGTGGTTTCGGGACGTTAAACCCCACAAAGCGGTCAAATCTTCGGCCATCTACAACGCTGTTCGAAGATTTTGCAGCGATTGCGCAGCCCGTCAAACGCCTGCTTAAAAAGGACGTGCCCTTCTTCTAGGGCTCTGACCAACCGCCAGCTTTTTCACACCTCATTGACCTATTCACGTTGCCCCCTCTGTTCGCTTAATCCAATGACTTGGCACCTTCCGAAGTACGAACTGATGCCAGTGGCCATAGCAACAGCGCTGTTCTCGGCCAAAGTGAACGTAGTCAGGATTATGTCATTGCATACGCAAGCCGCCTTCTTTCCGCCGCTGAACGGATATATTCAATAACAGTGAGAAAGTGTCTCGCTATAGCTTAGGACCTTGGAAATTTCACCCATATCTGCATGGAGGACCCGTCACCGTTGTCAGTGATCACCACGTCCTCTGCTGGCTGTCTTCTCTTAAGAGATCCTGCAAAACTTTTGTATGGTCAAAAACATCGTCGACCGGTAGTATAGGCTCCCCAGAACGCGTGAGCCAAACGTTATAGCGCAGCTCAGGACCTGTAGATAGCAATAAATTCTCAAATTCAGCTAAAAATCACTTTCTCTTTTCTCGTGAAGTGACGTAAATCACCCAAAATCACTGCGTAAAAGACATTCCGTTCGTCATGAGCTCACTTGAGCTCGGCATGCTCGTTCGTTACAAAGATCGCCACGGGAGGTCCCGACTTGTTCATGCGTGCTCACGTGCTCGGTCTAAAAAGCCGCAAGGTCACAAGGTGCGCGTCAGGTGTTTTTTCCCCTTGTCATCTCTCCCTACTTAGTTCACAGCACTTTCATCGGGACGAGTAGAGAGAAGATGCAATCGCTGCGTGATGCAAATTTTTATAACTGCTCATTCTGGACTAATTTTAAAATTTTTTGCGGTCGCCATTTTGCGAGGCAATAGGCTCCCTACGAAACCCTATAAGTAGTTGAATGAGAAAGAGTTGCAGGGCCCCTTTGAGGATCCTACTGGCCGCCTTGGTCGTTGGGTTTTGTGACTCAAGGGAACGCGTTAAGTGTGGTATACAAGTCTGGCAGCCTGCATCAGGACGCTGATTGCCTATCCCGTATACCAACCAGAACCTTCGGCGATGGACACTTTCTCATTGATGCTCGCAATAACTGACCTGTTCAACATTTTAGCTGAGCAACGCCGTTACCCGACACTCCGCAAGATCATCGACCACCTCAACTCACCGGCTCCGATTCATCCATTCGTCTCTTGGTGCTACACGATGGGACCTTGGATCGCCGCAGTTTGATACTTGACGACCCTAACGTTTTTCTTGCTTGTGATTCCGGCACACCTTTTATCGACTGCGCTGGTCCAACTTCACAATGTGCCAACAGCTGGACACTTCGGTGTTTCCCGCACCTACAATCGTTCACGCCTTTGTTTCCACTGGCCAGAAATGCATAGGTCAGTCCACCATTAAGTGACCTCATGTGACTATCGTCAGCGCCAGCAGAAATCAACACTCCGGCCTGTTGGGCGTCCTCAACTACTCTACATCACATGTGAGCCGTTTCGTCGTGTTGGTCTGGGCAATCACTTGCTCTGTATCATACGTCAAGCTCGAGCCATCGATTAACCGCCGTTGCCACAGACTGTCACGTGTTTTGCAACTACTCGCGCACTTACAGCCAGCTGCGCGACCGACGTAGTGGAATTCACGATCCACAACTTTATCTTTCAGCATGGAGTGCCGCATCATCTCTTAACGGACCGTGGCAGATAGGCTCGACCAAGCAAAAGATGACAATGACTTGACATGCACAAACAAATGACTTGACATAGTGGATGAACCGAATGATTACCGACATGCCGGAAATGTACGTGCCAGCCTACCAGAAAGATTGGGATTCCGCGTATCTTCTTGTCACGTTTGAGTATAACACGTCCCGACACGAGACGGCTGATTATTTGTCCTTTTTCTCTTATTCGAACTAAGTCAAATGTTTCCTATAACAGATGTTACCTCCTCTCACACACCCACTTACTGAGTACACTTAAAAAGCTAATCTTGCACGCCTTCGGTTAACTAGCTTGCAAATGGTTTATTAGTCTCGTTATTGTAGCCTTCACAGAAACGCCCACTTTCTTCGTGGAACTCTTGTCTTTCTTAGGTTTCTAGCATGCCATGTTGGACTATCTGAAAAGATCCTAATCCCGTACACCGGACCATGCCCTGTATGCCACCAAATGACCAACGTCACGTATGAGACCAAACCAGTCTTCCTCCGCATCCACTCATTCGCGCACCGGCACCGATCCCGTTGTGCGCCTGAAGCCCTACCGTATACTTGACCTCACCGACACGTGTGTATGGTCGCCATTGTCACTACAGCCTTCGTTAAGATGCACCCAATTGGTGTTTTCGCACCCGTAGTGTAATGTTACGTGCCACTGACTTAGAGAAAGAATACATTGGGAACGGGTTGTGCATCTTGGCTGCTGTTGATCCAATCAGTGTGATTGTGTATGAATAATGTGGATACACTTCTCTCTTCTTGTCTCTCCGTAACAATATCTACTCGTACAATGTATTGTCTACTCGTGGGTGAGAGCACATGAGCGGAAGCGACGAACGTGACTGAAGCAGAGATAAACTTGTCTGCCCATCTCCGTCGCTCAGAGGGTTCACGTGATAACAGCACCGCAATCGGGCAGCTTGCTGTTGAAACATAAAGGAATCAACTCGCCCATTTTCAACGCGCTTTAAGTGACAGGAGAGGAGAGTGAGATGTCGCTCGAGTAGCAATATGCTGCAAGCTCAGCCGCTACCACAAATATGATTGAGCATACGCACGGCGGTTTCATCGCGAAGAAACTGGATAATGGGTTGCTCTTCCTGAAGTAGCTGTATTTTTTACCCAAGCATTTTTATGCGAGATTAGATACAAACGAGTTAGGCGCCAGGCTCACTTTGTATAGCAATGCAATTTGTTGCTATCACTCTGTTTGCTTAGCTGATACGGTTAAACCTGCTACTTTCTGAGCTATGTACAGCCGCCTTTTTTTTAAGTGAATGCGTGGTCATAAACCACCATGTAATATTAGATCACAGCGGCGATATGAACGAGATTATGCGTGTGCGCTGGATGAGCAGTCTTGTGCTTTTCTTTGCTAAGCTGTTTTTTCGGGAACTGAAAACCATCCTTCTTTCAGGCACCGTTATCATAATCCCTTTTTCGTTTCTGAACGCTCCCATCAAGTTGTAAAAACGATCACAGCTTCACCACAAGGGTGAAGCAGCGAGAGCCATCGAAACAAATTGTAATGTTATATGGCTACGAGAAACGTTCTTGAGATAAGGTATCAAGTAACTCTACAATGCGCGCGTGTAAAGGAATATGGCTTGGTCCAGGAGAAATACTCCTTGCGCAGTCTCTTCGCGTTGAAATGCTACATGTAGAAGGGTTGGCAAGCAATCCACGATGATGGGTGCTCAGATAGCGCGCGTGCCAGTGATCACGATCGCATGCTTATAAGTAAAGATCACAGCTGCTGCTCGAGCGAGCAGAAATTGATGAAACTGAATCTAAAGCCGTTTCACTGAAAAAGAAAACACGGTGCTTAAGCCAAGTGTTTTGGCACGCGACTTGATAGTTGTGGCGCCTTTCACTGAATTTCGATGCTGTGGCGCAATACGGCACTAATAAGCGAGATTGGCACAAAGATTGTTTCTTGCAAGAGGCGCAGGTGAAAATATTTGGCACACAATTGTGCAAATGACGCAGCTGTTCATCCCCGGTAATTTAAAGCCTACCCCCACTTTTAAAGACGAAAGTCTTTCTTGGGAACCTTCGACGCAAAAATTTTTTGCTCCGTCTGTATGTCTGTAGATTTGTCAGTTTTCTGTTCATCTACCCTTAAGGGTACTGTAAACGGTACTGTAAACGGCACCAAAGTGGCCAAACTATTCTCCTAACAGCCAACCCCATCCGCAGTGCCCACCAATATTACTCAAGGTTCAGCGT